CTTCGGGCCCAAATCAAACATATGTTGACCCTGCAGGTTAGGCACATAATAATACTGGCACTGAGCCCAACAATGGTACATACACACATATTAATTAGCCACGAACACATGCCATGCACATGCTTGCACTCGTTAATGCACTCGTTAATGCACTCTTGCACACGTGCCATCATTATGCATATGCTCATGTTCCTTTCTGCACACATGCACACGTGCCAACTTTCCATTTATTCACCGACCCGCGTTAAACGCATCAAGTCCGACCCGCGTAAAACGCATCAGGTCTATCACATACAACACTTCCTGACCCGCGTAAAACGCATCAGGCCCAGTGTCTCTAGCCCGCGTAAAACGCATTAGGCGCAACACCGATCTCCTTATACGGACCAAAACCCGCGTAAAATGCATCAGGCTGGCCGTCTTCCGGCAATCCGGGCATCGTCCCGCGTAAAACGCATCAGGACGGGTTCAACACCCCGCGTAAGACGCATCAGGGTTTTATGTGATCACACGTACTCATACCACAAATTATTATCTGAACCCCGCGTAAGACGCATCAGGGCGATTTAGGTGATCACATGCTCATGCCATTCGTGCACATTCACATAATGCACATGTTATGCCAATGCTCGATATACACATTCATGGCTATAACGTCCACGCTCGGCATCCACAATTTCCACACTCAATTAATGCCACAACATGCTCAATCATTGACCCACCAATATTAGCCACTAATATGCACCCAAAACCATCCCAATTCCAAACCACGAGCTCACCAATTCGACATTCAAGTCGGCCATAATCAATCGTAAATTTCACCCACACACGCCACGGCAATCCGGTCCTTTAACTCACCATAATTAGCCCACTGTCAACTAAATCCGTCAAAACGCCACGATAACACCGAATAATTCTCGAGAGAGAGAAAAACCGAGAATATACAAAATCGGGTCCAAACTAGGAAGTTGCGCAGTGACAGAAATCCATTTGAAATAAATAGTAAATCAACTCCAAAAATTCTGAAATTTGGATATGTTACATAAAACATCTTGATAAACATTTTCTGTGAAGAATTCGAAACCCAGTTCCAACCGTAAACACCTCGTTTTGACACTCAAAGCCGGACAGAACCCGGTTCGCTCGGACAGCCCCTCGGACCATCAATAATACAACTCATTCAGTACCCAAATCACTTTGGAAAGCTCTGAAATTTTTATATGTCATATACACAAGTGTTTTTAGCAATTTTTGTGAAGGAAGTTTGTTGAAATAAGGTCTGAAAAATTTTATAAAAATTCAGAAAGACAAGAAGGTCGGGTGAACAGTAAATCGGGCAGTTTTGTGACGGTCTGAAAACCGACTTCCGAATGACGCCAAAAAAATTCCAAAAATTCTGAATTTAAAGTATATTATACTTAAAGATTTTGGGAACAAATTCCATGAAGAACACTTTCTCAGATTCGGCCCACAATGATCACCAAAAAAATAATAAATCACAGAGGTACAGTAACAACTAGAAATCCGAGAATCATAAAACTTGCACCATTAGGCAAATCAAGCTTATACAACCACAAAACCAACCATCCACAGCCCCTAATCCATCCCTAGACATGCCATTAGTAACCCACTAGCCTAACCAAGGATTAGGAAGTCACTTACAAGAGAGCCTAAACAAGACAACCTAGTAAGGGAGCAAACAAGAGCCTTGGCACGGCAACGGCTACTCCGGCGAAGCAACGGCGAGGGCGGACAGCGGATGGCAGCTCAGGTGGTCGGTGATGGTGTGAGGGTGATCGTGGGTGGTGGTGATGGTGAGGGGTGGAGCTGGTCTCGGCTAGGAGAGGAAGAAGCCGAGCGAAAGCAGAGACAGAAGAAGAGACAGCAGCAGCAGCAACGTGATCAGCAGCAGCCCAGAAGAAAAGAAGAAAAAGATGAAGAAAGGGAAGAGAAGGAGGAGGGGGAAATGATGGGGAGTGGGTGAGTTGGTGGGGATGGTCAGCAGCAACGTGGGGGTGGAGAGGAAGTCAGCAAAAGCAGCAGAGGTCAGCAGAAGCAACAGTAGAAACAAAAGCAGAAATAACGTGGGGCAGCATGGGGTGTTCGGCACGGGTGGAGGAGAGGAGAGAGAGAGAAGAGAGAGAAAGTCAAACGCACTTGAGTACGATCCGACGATCCTCGTTCAAATTCGAAAACGATCCAACGGCCCACGAAAAACCCTAATTATAAACTAGCAAAAAGGCCAAAAGATAATAACTAAAACACACTACGAGGGAGGTCTATTAGTCCAAATTCGCACCCGATCCAAATTTTCACTTTCCCACTAGACCTGGCAATCTCGAGGCTGGCCACAATAATATCGATACCATTCAATTAAATTCGTCCCAAAATTCCGAAAAATTCGAAACCAAAGTTTGGGCTCTATATAACGGCCAAATTCGATCGAGTGCGATTCTAGCGAAATCTCTAATTTAAAAAGAATAACCCAGGAGTGATCAGTTCCGGGTGAGATTTTATTATAAGTGCACTGACGAAATACCCGTTTTATAAATCCCAAAAATGGGCCGAAATTCGGAATGTCACAAGAGATCTCTAGTAAGAGTACGAAAAAATCACCAACGCAGAATAAAGCCACAAGAGAAGGTAGGAGTCAGGCACTGAAAGTAAAACAATTGATCCCCGCCACATGTGAACATCCACGCCAAATACAAAAACACACCGGAAAGATATAGCAGCACACACATAATTCCACAATAACACTATGACCCAAAAACTGAGGCTCGCTAAAATTTGGAGGGGTGACTGAGATCGAACTTTGGAGGAGTAGTCGAGTGGCCGAGTGTGCCGAGATCTGGAGGAGCTGTGGCCGAGCTGGTTGGCATCTTGATGCTCGGCCATGGCCTTCGAAATCGCGAAGATTTCGACTGACACGATCTCAACGAGCATGGAGGAAGAGTGTTAAGCTCTCGGAGGTTTAGCAGAGAGAAAGGGGTTTGCACATTCAATCGTAAAAAGGAAGAAGTACGAGCCAGATCTTGCTGAAGGAGGAGAAAAGAAGGGAATAAAAGAACAAAGAAAAGAAACGAAAAAAGGAAGTAAAAAAAAAGAGATGACATTGAATTTGGGGCAAAACAATGTTGTTGCAATTGAGTTTGTTCACATCAAATAGCCAGTGTGTCGTATAAAATGGCCAGCGATGACTGGACCGCTACATCAACAATTTCATGCGAGTCTTTAGCGGGAGGGCTACATTGGAATTTTACTAAAAGCTTTAGGGCTGCATTGGAACAATTGAAAATTTTAAAAATTTAAATAGAAATTTTCCCTAATAGTAATGATTGTATCCCAACCTTTGTGATTAAAGATCCCGTGGCTAATAAGATATAATAATAGTTTTAGAACTAAAATAGCAATTTCCCATAGTATCAACATGATTTTATCCCAACCAATCGTAAGTTGTTTGTTGACACTATAACACCAAAGTATATTTGTTGAAAATATGTCTCAAGTTTGAGACCAAAAAGGAAAGTTTCCTAATTCAAGTAGGTTTGCTATTTTGAATAGGTTTCCGAATTAAATGGTTTCCTAGTTGGAAATTGTTTTCTAATTGGAGAAGGTTTCCTAAAGGGAGGTTTCCTATTTTGGATATGCTCTTGTCTATAAATAAGAGGTGTGACTTCTTATGAAGATCATCATTTGTTGGGAATGTGCAGCAGAAGTCCAATACCTTCACTTGAGGAAATCACCAAGAGGGAGCTCAAGTCCGAGCTCGTCAACATATCCAGTTGGACCCACCTTCACTTAAAAGCTTAAGCCAATGAGTTATAAGCCAACTATGATATATTAAGTGCTCAACACCACATCAATTATCCGATGTGGGACTTCTCTAACATAACTCACACGTTTATCTCAACAATCTCCCCCTCATGTGTGAGATCAAAGAGGAGCCCTGCAAGTGAATTATACTTTGAAGATATTCGAGTGTTTGTAGCGATTAAGTATTGCGGTAAGATTTATGTACAATTCCTTCGTGAGATTGGGAGATTATTTCATGAGGAATTGTGGGCTAAACACTGCATGAGTTATTAGGTGTAATTGGGAATTGGAAACACTGAAAGTGTTTGAGTGACTCGAGTGTGGTTGTAATCTCCGTTATATCGCTTGATTTATAGTGGAATTTCGTGTTGCTCTCATTGTGGATATAGGTCACTACGAACGAATCACGTAAATTAGGTATCCGATTTATTTTCTTTATTCAGTCTATTTTACTATTCGATCGCTTGGCTTACGCAACAAATAGTATCGGAGCCGATGGTTGATTAATGGGCCCTCAATCTGTTCCGGTGTTTGATGAATATCTCAATAAAGAAATCTCATGATCGATGCTTATTTTGGGTGGAAATTGCCATCACGGTTGATCTGGCGAGAAGCGACCATGGACGGTTGGTCTGGTGACGTGAGATAAAGACCATGGGTGATGCAATCTAAAGTTAGCAGTTGATGATGGTTGTTGTGCATAGTTGCTGGTTCATTGCAATGAGTTGGAGATTCAAGTTGAGATAAGCTGATACAGAAGAATACCTAAATTAAGGGGAAGCAAACCTAACACTGAGCTCACACGTGAGGCAGAGATTGTTGAGATACACGTGTGAGCTGTGTTAAAGAAGTCCCACATCTGATAATTGATGTGGTGTTGAGGAGTTAATATATTTTAATTGTCCTATAACTGATTGGTTTAAGCTTTTGAGTGAAGGTGGGTCCAACTGGATATGTTGACGGGCTTGGACTTGAACTCCCTCTTAGAGATCTTCCCAGGTGAAGGTATCGGACTTCTACTGCGCATTCCCAACAATATTGAAGTCCCTTCTATGGTGTATTGGGTTGATGCTTTGCACATTAAGTGAGGATTGAGTTAATCTCCTACGAATTTCATATCCCTTATGGATGGCGTACTTATTTTCCATAAGGTTGCTCTCCAATGAGTCCAAACAGTCTAGAAGCAGAACACAATCACACATCCCTCTTTAACATAATGCAGCATAACAGTAGGCTGCACAAAATCATATCTTTACTTGATTCAGGTACGATTTCCCATCAATTACTTTGCTCTGTTTAAATTCCAAGTAGTCCTTGTAATTCATCGAGATGTATGTGGCTTGGTTGTGCTCGCCATCCACCAGCTGCTTCGCTGGCACTACGACAGTGTCAGGCGATGGTCTAGTAGAAAAAGGGATCGATAGCCTTGCAGCCTTGTTGTTCACGATAGCTCGATGCAGAACGCTCTTGTATTTCCCATTGCTCACAATCTTGCACAATTGTAAAGTGTCAAGAAAAAAAAAATTAGTTGCAATAAGCTCGATCTGTTCAATGGGAGAAATTAGAGTAAATCACAAAGATTCGTATCAACTTTAACTGATTAATATCCGGTTAAAGAAACAAAGACAATAGAGTAAGTTTTTAGCAAATTTTTAAGACAACAGTATGTACTATAGTTCTATGTATAATAACGATGTCCGTTCCATAATACCTACATTTTATCAGCATCTATAAACCAAGGCACACAGTATTCACACCAAGATTTGAAATATATTGGACCTCTCTTGCAAGACAGATAAGGGAGATTAGAAAGATGAAACATGGATTTCTGTATACTTACCTCGAGCTGATCAACGGTGTTGACCACAAAGGCATTTGGAATGAGATCAGCTTTGACCCTGTTTACACCAAAAAATGGCCAACTTGTCGACATGGTTCGTTTGTGCCAAAGATCATCAAGGGACACATGGCGGAGAGTTGAGGTAACATGGAAGCAAATATCATCAAGTTGCCAACATAAGGGACACATGTCAGAGACATGTGTCATGTGTATATATTTACACCCAAAAATGACCAATTTTTTAGTATTATTGACAAGACTGGTCACGACTTCATCTTGTCGATGACTTCGACGAAATTGGTGTTCTGCGCTAGTTCGGGAAAATGGTCATAACTTCTTCGAGACAGATTGGATTGACCTGATTCCAAAGCCAAAGAACGAAGACTGATGGGTCTACAACTTTTATGTTTTGAGTTTACTCAGAAAATCACTGTAGAGTTTTCGAAATTAAGAGGAAGTCGACGGTCGTGACTTCATCTTGTCGATGACTTCGACGAAATTGCAGCTCTGCGCTAGTTCGGGAAAATAGTCATAACTTCTTCGAGACAGATCGGATTGACCTGATTCCAAAGCCAAAAGAATGAAGAATCTTGGATCTACAACTTTTATATTTTGAGTTTTCTCAGAAAATCACTGTAGAAGCCATCGAGGTTAAAGGAAGTCGACGGTCGTGACTTCATCTTGTCGAGGACTTCGACGAAATTTCAGTTCTGCGCTAGTTCGGGAAAATGGTCATAACTTCTTCGAGACAGATAAGATTGACCTGATTCCAAAGCCAAAAGAACGAAGACTCCTGGATCTACAACTTTTATGTTTTGAGTTTACTCAGAAAATCACTGTAACGTTTTTTACATTAAGAGGAAGTCGACGGTTGTGACTGGTTGGAGATGCAGAAAGAAGAAGTAACCGTCAACATAGTGGAGTCAAAGCAACCGCCAACGTAGTGGAGTAAAAAAAATCCGTCAAGGTAGTGGATTCAACGTAACTGTTGGAAACCACTAAGGAGCATACATGCGTATTTTGAGAGAACAGTTACTTGGAACCATGATTATGAGGAAGTTATCACTTGTGGACAAGATCATGAGACAGTTATCTTGAAAGCAGAATCATGGCATCACATGGACATGAAGACAAGATTTTCGGAATGAAAGAACATGGGCACAACTGTTGAAAACTGCTAAGGAGCAGTTACCACACGACCATTATAAATATCACCGGCCATCTACCGGAGAGAGAACCCCTGACAAAATCAAACAACATGTTATCTTTCAAGTATCTTTACTTTCATGTACCGCACTTTATCTTTCCTTTGCTGTAGCTTTCCGATTCGCGTCGTCGATTAAATTCCAGCATGTATCTCTATCCTGAGTGTTGCGTCGTCGATTAAATTCCGGCGTTACATCTTTGTGTACGTGTGCGGCTGTATTTTCAAGCTTTGTCGTCGATTAAATTCCGGCACGGTTTGTACATATAGTTCGGTTCGAAGTTCGGAGTAAAAGTTCGCCGTTTTTCCTTGTCTCCCTGGATATTTCTTGTCCAGAGTTGCCACGGAACCCGGTCTCCTCACATTAAGAACCGAAGAACGACTTTCGGTGAATTATATTTCACCGCGGGAGCATTTTCTGGTGAAACAGACCCACTTCCCGTCATGATAAACTTCAAGGCCGCCAACTCCATTCTGCATGAGGATGGTCAATAGGCCATAGTCTGAGTGTGAGGTTAGGCCCATGGTGAGTTCTGGCTGTGGGCATGCCGGATACAGATTCGTTGCTAATATCTGTAGGCTTGAATCCATGTTCATTGCCTCGTCGATATAGCCAGGTTTGAGTCCTAGGCCCTCCGATATACCCTTGAGCAGTTCCCTAACTAATTTTCGCAGCGCTCCAGAGTACTTTGCCAAAACTTTACTGCAACAGACATTGCTTTCATTCATCAGAGGAAATGCCGTGGTGGAGTTCTTTCATCTTTAGGGATTTCACAAGTTTCTATCACTCAAATCTTTTATCTGGGGTATTACCAATTGTTTTGCTCTATCAAATTGAATCCGCACTTTGCTTATTTTTTCTAGGCGTACAAAATTGTTTGTCTGACATCAAGATGATCCAAAACAATGCTACCCCAACATAAGAATCGTGTACTTTCTATTCCGATATTTCAAGACTGCCAGATTTCTAGGTAAATGTAGATCAAATTTACAAAACTAACAAACCGGAACCAAAGATGCTGAATAGCTCGCGTCTCAGACGGATTGAAGTTGTTCAAGTTCAGATCCCACATGGTTAATTGAGTGGTCAAGTAGATACGGAAAATCTGGTATCCAAATCATATCGTCTCGCATATAGGTAACGTTAGAGCTCGGATCTGCCTCCCAAATGGACAGAGTCTTATACATGGACGGAGATGGGAATTAGTCAATTCGAAGATTTGGATTCTCGTGTTAGCAGGGAAGAAGAATTTGTTCAAGTTCCTCATCGATTTTTTCTTTCCGATGTACCTGATAATTTTATACTGTAAACTAGATCTGGATGCATTGATAACTCTGAACATTATTTTAGCATAACGAGTTGAGAAGAGTGACTAACTTATTTTGCACTACCCACGTACTTACTCTTCAAATTTTCACTCCCTTAAGATTCTGTAGGTTCATCCTATAATCGATTGTGAAAAAAATGTCCACAAGGGGAAGGTTCTGTTGCTTCTGGACTGTAGCATTGAAGCTACAGTTAGGACATATAGTTGTCATTACCACTATTAGTAAAACATGAGATTGTTGATATTTGTGGTGTGGCAAACTCAAACTTTTATATACAAATGGAATTAAGCAAACACAAATACCAATACGTATATGCAAACTGAGAACATGGAAGCAAAGCGTAGAAATAAATTCAAGGGTAAAAGCCACAAAAATTCCCAAACTATGTTCACTGTGACGCGTGTACCCTAAAGTTTTTTCCGTGACACTAAAAGCCCCGTACGTGTATCTGTGCGACACATTTACCTGCCGTCAAGGTTCTGTCAATGAGCACTGTTGAAAATCTGCTTACTTATATATCGGAAAGCAAATGGCATTGACATGACTCCCTCATGCTTAAGTGAAATAAAAACAATATTATTTTGGCTAAAAAATACAAAGTTACAAATTTGGGGTTTTTTATGTCATAAGAAAAATTTTAGGATACATGTGTCGCAATGGGCATGGTTTGAGACTTTTTATGTCACAATAAAAAAGTTCAGGGTAAACATGTCACGGTGGACACGGTTTAAGGTTTTTTGTGGTTTTTTTTCCCTTATTTCAATACATATTAGACCTTTTTTTCAAAGAAAGAGAGGGAGAGAATGGGGTACCTCAAGCCTTCTGGTTTGGTGGGGCAGTGAAACTTTGGATGCACCGTCATCTTCAGGAAATCCCTCCAGAGGAACACTTTGTCGACCGAAGCTTTGAAGCTCGTCCCGTACCTTATGGGGTCCAACACGTGCTTCCCTTCGAACTCACTCTTCTCCTCCTCTGTCAGATCGAAGAATCCCATCAGCGCCTCGACCGTCGCCTTCATTCGACTCTCGGGCACTCCGTGGTTGATCAGCTACTCACATGTACAACCAAGGGCTATATGATCAATACGTGGTAAACAAGAAACTGTTGCTAGTTATGAGAATAAATTTACGAGCAGCGGCCAATCTCACGCAAGTTAAGCCATGAGAATAATTTCTCATTAATTCTCTTTAGCTCCGGCATGAATGAACAACCGTCTGTTGAATCAGCCAATTCGATTCAAATTGTTGCTAATCTTTCAAGAACTATTGCAGTTTTGCCAATTCAGTTCTAAATTTTTCAATTTTACCAATCGACTCCATCCATCCAATTTTTGGCAGGAATCCGATGATATGGATGTCAATTGTGCCACGTAAGACAACTAGCGTTGACGGAGACAATTTTAACAATTTTTTTGATATTTTTCGAATTTTTATTTATCTTTCTTTTCTTTTTCTTTTTGTTTTCTTTGTCCTCTAATTTTTTTTGTTGTGGCCAGGGAGGGTCTGGCGGCCCTCATTTGGCCTCGCCCAAATGTGGGGGAGGCTGCCTTCGCCGCGGCTGCCTTTGCGATGCAAAGGTCATCCTGACTATAGCAAAAGCAAAAGAAAAAGGGTCGAACATGAAGCAAGGAGGGATGACGCATGGTCTCCGTTCCTGTTGGTGGGTGATGCTTGACCATGGGCAAAGGCAGCCTCTCCTACAGCCGACGAGGCCATGGCGAGGCTGGCCTCGCCTAGATGTGGGGAAGGTAGGGTGAGGGCCGCGCGACTCTCGTTTGTGGATGGTGAGGGCCATTGAGCCTTGCCCAACCACATCGAAAAATTAAAGAAGGAAAAGAGAAAAAAAAAGAAAAAATAAAATAGGAAAGAAAAAATAAAAATTCGAAAAAAATATTAAAATATTATTTAAAATTGTCCGCGTCAACGCCAGCCATGCCACGTAGGATGGATGGCATCCACGTTAGTAAATTCAGGCTAGATGAACTCAATTGGAAAATTATCAAAAGGTTTAAGACTTAATTAGTAAAATTGAAAGGTTTATGACTCAATTGGTAAAACTGTAATAGGTTTAAGACTTTTTTGGATAATTTTCCCTTCAAGAATTCATGACAGTTGGATAAGTATATCCCATTGCCTATAATCCGTAAAACTATATCCTTTGTTTTCTTATTCATCCCCTACCAAATATGTCCTACGCACATGAATAGTTGCGTTTGATGTGAGGAATAAAGGTATATGATTGCCAAGGAAAACATGGTAAAAAAAAGGGCCATTGGAGAGAGAGGGAGGAGCCAAATCAAAGGTTAGGTGTCGTTAAGCAAACATTTAAGTGAATAAAGAAAGGAAGGGTCACGCTTTTTCCACTCCACATTTGGCTTAGACACTCCCTATCACGGTGTTTTGACCATATTATCCCTTACATGGCTCACCTTTTGGCATTACTCTCCTCTTTTTATTTGATGAAATGTGTTGTTCCTCTTTTTTTCTCTTCTTTTCTTTCGTCGCGGCGGTAGTGTACCTCTCTATTCCCTTTTTTTCCATTTTTTCGTTCATACACGCCTTTGGTGTCTCGTTATCTCCCATTTCTTCTAACAAAAAATTCAATTGCAATGCTATGTTGAATGCTTCCTGTGTTGGAACCAATATAAAAATAATAAAATTTTGGAATTTGGAATAAGGGTACAAAATTGAAGGGAGAAATGGTTCTTAATATATTCTCAATGTAAAGCATATTGAATATTTTATCCTCTCAAACTATCAATTAGGTTGGCACCATTTTATCAATGGCTAATAAATTTAGATTGTTAATAGATGGATTTTAACGCAGATTGGTAATAATTTTATAGGCCATGCATTTTCCACTTCTCATTTGGTTTGGACACTCTCTATTATAGTGTTTTAACCATATTGTCCCTTATGTGGCCCGCCTTTTAGTATTAATCCCCTATTTTTATTTAGTCAAATGTGTTGTTCCTCTTTTTCTCTCATCCTTTCTCCCTTTGAGACTCGTAGGTCCCATTTTCCTTGTTTTTCTTATCTTTCCAGGCCTTCAGTGTCTTCCAACCGTAAAGTCCCTCTGTATTTCATTTTTTCTATTTTTTCCACTGCAGACACACCTTTGGTGTCTTATTCTCTCCATTTTTTCTCAAAATAACATCCAAATGCAATGCTAAGTTGAATGCTTCCTATGGAACCAAAAGAATAATAATAGAACTTTGGAATTTGGAATAAGGGCACGAAATTGGAGGGAGAAATGGTTCTTAAAACGCTTTCTGTTGGCTTCGGTAGATATATAGCACTCACAATCACGTCCTTATATAAAAGCAAAACACGTACAATACATTTAATGATGAGACAAATAGTTCACACTTATTTAATAGGGTTAATATCACGAAAAGCCCCAAACTGGTACACCGGTGATAATTTTAACTAGAACTAATTTTTTAATCACTAAAATCCCAAACTGGTATATTTGTGACAAATTTATCTTGAACTATTTTTTTACCACAAAAAACTCTGCACCGGTATACTTGTGACAATTTTAGCCCAAACTAACTTTTTGACCATCAAAAATTCTAAACTGGTACACCTGTGATAATTTGAGCCCAAACTAATTTTTTTACCACTAAAAACCCCAAGCTGGCACATTTGTGATAAATTTACCCTCCGATAGTATCCATTAAATTGGATTAATATCACAAAAAATCAAAAATCGGTAAACTTGTGACAAACAGAGGGGTAAAACCTCAAACTGGTAGACCCGTCAACTATCACGTGTCATCAAACTTAGCAATTTGACAGTAAAATTTAACGAAAACTAACAGAGGGTAAAATTGTCACAGGTTTACCAGTTTGGGGTTTTTGGTGGTCAAAAAATTAGTTCGGGGTAAAATTGTCATAGGTGTACCGGTGTGGGGTTTTTGGTGGTCAAAAACATAGTTCGGGGTAAAATTATCATAAGTGTACCAATTTAGGGTTTTTGGTAGTCAAAAAAATAGTTTATGGTAAATTTGTCACAGGTGTATCAGTTTGGGTTTTTTCGTGGTATTAACCCTATTTAATATAAGGACGAAATGTCAACACAAAAAACACACATTACATGAGCCAATAGCTATGAAGTCTTCTAGCAGCTCCTTTTAACAGTTGGTCATACTTCACGTTTTTTAACAAAACCCAACAAAAGCTCCTCTTTTCCTTACGAAAGCTGCTAATTGTTGAATGGTGGAGGGGCTAACCAAAGATAGCCCACCGGAAATCATATTGATTTCCTTTCGTCTTGGTTCTTTTTCTAACACCCACCATAAATCAAGACATCAGTTGAAGAATATTAACAACCAAATCTAGAACGCAGCAACCCACATGCTAAAATCTTCAACAATTAATTTTAGATTATTTTAACAACCTCTTTTAAAATTGATTTTGGAATTCAAGAACACCAAGAATCATCTTTAATCTTTCAAACAAATCCGCGTTCAATGGTTTCGTCAAAATATATGCAAAATGATAATCTGATCTGCAAAAATCAAGCTCAAACTCACCATCTTTGACTCGCTTACGGATATAGTGATACTTGACATCAATATGTTTGCTCTTGCCACGAAAAACATGATTCTTGGCTAAAGCAATAGCTAACTTATTGTCACACATATTTTGGTAGGGCATGTTTGTTTATGCATCAATTCACATAGCATCCACTATCATCACCTTTGTAAGATTTTTGCTGAATATCCCATGCTTCTTTCATGTCTCCGCACTCGATATCTTTTCCAATGTCGTTTCCTCCACGGCTTGAAAGATCACATACAATGCTTTCTCATCTTTCTTTTGGGACTCCACCAACAAATCTTTCTCCTCCTTTTTAAAGCATCGAAGGATTTAGCATTGGCCACTTCGGTGTAGCCATTTCCCAAAAAATTCCACAAATCTTGTAATTTGAAGAGAATCTTTATCTGGACAGATCAATTATTGAAATTCTTCAAGTTCAACTTTGGAAGTTGCAATTGAAAGAAAATGTGGATGTCATTTCTAGCTTTGATACCAAATTTTGAAACCAAAAGAATAATAATAAAACTTCGGAATTTGGAATAAGGGCACAAAAATTGGAGGGAGAAATGGTTCTTAGAATGCTTTCTATTGGCTTCAATAGATATACAACACTCACCCTCACATCCTTATATAATAGAAGAACACTGACCATGCATTCAATGATGAAGACAAACAGCCCACACACTAATTATCCTAAGGACAAAATATCAACACAAAAAACACATTTATTGAGCCAAGACCATGCAGTTTTCGAGTAACTCCTTCCGACAATTGTTGAACCTTCACATTCATTAAAAAACCAACAACAGCTCCTCTTTTCCTTATGAAAGCATTTACTCACTGTTGAATAGTGGAGGGGCTACCCCAAGATAGCCCACCATAAATCATGTTGATTTTCTTTTGTAATCGTGTGAACCAGTAAAGTGCTCCCATGATTTTGGTAAAAAAAGCTAACAACACATGCTGTGTTCTTTGTCATCAAGGATTTTACCAATGTTTCTTAAATCTGTCATGAGTTTATTGAACTTCTCTAGGAGGGATCTGATAAATGTATCTTCAGTGTATCGAAATTGAAATATCCTCTTCAACATATGTTAGCGATTATTCAAAACTTTCGTTACATAGAGTGCCTAAAGTTTTGCCCACAACGCTGCGGCATCCTTCTCCTCAGCCACCTCTCTTAACACCTCAGCCAATAGGTTTAACAAGATTATACTTCTTGCCTTCCTCATTAGCATGTCCTTTTGGCATCTTTCATTATTTGGAAAACAACTTAGCCTTAGCCACCAATGCTTCAACCAAACCTTAAGTTGTCAATAGCGCCTCCATATTGACGCTCCATAATCCAAAGTTATTCCTTCTATTAAACTTCTCAGTTTCTACTTTCACTCCAAACATTATTGTAGCAACAGAATTTTTAGATAATAATCAAAGGAGCAAATGTCCTGAATCAAAATCTAGAAAATCCTATGCT